AGAGCCACTACCTTCAACTGACCTGGCCAATCTACAGTCCGAGGATTGGCCTAGTCGACCGGAAAACGGTGGCCGCGTTAGATTACTGGGAGAGGACGACGACGGAGGCGATGTATCGATGGGGGACGGCGCGGACGACGAGGGGGACTCGGGTGATGAAAACGACGACGAAGACCCCGCGCAGCTCGAGGCCGCTCGTCTACGCCTCGAAGACCAAGCGCGCAAGTATCTGGCCGCGCAAACACACGAGGTCATCATTCCCTCGTACTCTGCCTGGTTCGACATGTCCAAAATCCATCCCGTCGAGCGTCGCGCGTTGCCCGAGTTTTTCAACTCCCGCAATCGCTCCAAAACACCCGCAATATACAAGGACTACCGCGACTTTATGATCAATACCTACCGCCTCCGACCCATGGAGTATCTCACCGTCACCGCCTGCCGACGAAATCTGGCTGGAGACGTCTGTGCCATTATGCGCGTCCACGCCTTTCTCGAGCAGTGGGGTTTAATAAACTACCAGGTATTTCTTCGTTCGCCAGCTCCGGAGACTTTGCTCCAACATCTCTGCAGATCGACCCAGACTCGCGTCCCGCTGCCCTGGCACCGCCGTTCACCGGCCACTTCCGCGTCATACTCGATACGCCCCGCGGACTCCAGTCGCTGCACCCCGGTACACGAGCGGGGAACCCGGGTGCTGCTGCCGTCAACGGCGCCAAAAAGCCTCCGCCAACGCCCGCATCCCTTGAACTGCGCTCCAATATATACCAGACCTCCAACAAGTCTTCGCGCCCCATCGACGGCGCCGAGGCCGACGCATTGGCTAACGGCAACCGCGACGGATCGGCGAACGGTGCCAGCCGAGGGCCGTCGACCGGTCTGTGTACTTGCGACACCTGTGGCGCCGACTGCACGCAGCTCCGCTACCACTCCCTCAAGGAGAAAAAGTTTGAGCTCTGCGCGCCGTGCTACCTCGACGGGCGCTTCCCGTCCACCATGTTCAGCGGCGACTTTGTCAAGCTCACGAGCGCCGCGGCGGGTGTGGCGCCGGACGACTGGACAGACGCGGAAGTCCTATTGCTGCTCGAGGCCGTGGAAATGTTTGACGACGACTGGTCGCGCATCGAGGAGTACGTCGGCACGCGCACGGCACAGCAGTGCATCCGCAAGTTCCTCGAGCTGCCGATTGAGGACCCGTACCTCGCGACGGAGGCGAGCATGGGCCCGCTGCGGCACGGACGCATCCCGTTCGAGCAGGCGGACAACCCCGTCATGAGCGTTGTTGCGTTCCTGGCGGGCGTCGTCGGGCCCGGCGTTGCGGTAGACGCAGCCAAGACCGCGCTGCACCATCTCACGAGCGAGGAGAAAGCCAGTGCCAAGACGGAGGAGGCGAGCGGGGATGGGTTCAAGCGCGAGGGCACGAACGGCGCGTCGTCGAGCAAGCCCGCGACGCCCGCTGCGGACGGCATGGTGGTCGACTCGGGCGCGAAGAAACACACGGTCGCGCATTCGCAGGCCGTGCGCGCGGCGGATCTCGCGCTCAAGTCGTCCGCCAAGTCCGCCGCGGCACTCGCCGACGCAGAGGACTCGCAGATCCGCACGACGCTCGCGTCGCTCATTAAGCTCACCCTGACGAAGCTCGAGCTCAAGATGGGGCAGTTTGAGGAGCTGGAGGATATCCTCGAGGAGGAGCGCAAGGGGCTCGAGAGCGCGCGGATGGCGTTGGTGAACGAGCGGCTAGGGCTGAAGAAGATGCTGGATAATGTGAGGAATGAGATTGCGCGTAGTGGGGGCCTGGCGGCTGCGCAAGCGCTCATGGCGCCCGGCGCGATGGGGACGAGCGGGCAGGGCACGATGATTAACGAGGTCGGTCTGCCAATGGATGGCTCCGGTGGTCCCTTGGGTGATGCGAGCATCCTGCAATTGACTTGAATTATACGCTTTCTGTAACATACCTATTGTAAAGTCGTTTCTTTTTCTGCTGTTTGCCCGCCTTTGAATCCCTTATGTGGGTCGCGTTGTACATACGATATTCATGCTAGACTTTATTCTGTGAGAGAGAGAAAAAAATCTGAGAGAAAAACATCCGAGGCCTTAATACGTGTGTACATAAAGAACAAAAACTACAAGTACACTGCTATACGGGCTTTCTGCGCACCAATCGAACGGGAATATCTGCCGCTCCAAGCGTTATTACTATACGCCCATCCATAATGCGCGCGCCCCACTCCTCCGTGGTCTCGCCGTCACGGAGAATGGGCAGTACCTTCCAATCGCGGAGGAAGAGAGCGAGTAAACACGTTGCCTCGACCGTGGCGAAACGTCTGCCTATACACGCGCGAGGTCCTGGTAGTACATGATTTGAGACGTTTCGCTGGTGACTGACAGTTTTACTCACCAACGCTGAATGCGGTGAACAGCTCCGAGTCTGTGGGCAGTCCATACCACCGCGACGGCTTGTACATGTGCGCGTCTGGGAAATAGCGGGGATTATATTCTAAGTGCACCAAAAGAATGAGCACACTCTCGGGCACGTAGGAGAAAAAACTACGCACGGACGCCGATCATGTCACAGATAATCTGTTACGAGGCACGAAAGTCAAGGCCAGGAGTGAATGAGAGTTTTGAGCGCGTACCTCTGTACCCTTTGGAATGGGAATAGTCCTGCTACCCTCCTCGCCCACGGGATTGGGAACGGTCAACACTGTATCCTCCGCCGCCATACGAATGAGAACATGGCCAGCCGCTTCGTGTTGGATTAGCTTGTCTTTGCGGACTGCAAGGAATTATGTAGTTGACTCACGGAACATGCGCGCAGCCTCGTAGAAAATGGCAAGGACCTTGTCTAGCTTCGAATAGTCGTCAAAGTGCTGCAAGGGACGTTATGAATGGAAGAGATGTAGGAAACGGCTGAGACAACGTACGGGGTCACGATCGGGGCCGACCACGGAAATTATCTGTTCGACGACCTCGTCTTGGATATCTTGGTGAATAGCCATATAACCGAACGTAGCTGCAAGACTGTGAGCCGTCGTTTCTGCCCAATGATGAGTATTGGAGATCAAGAAGACAGAATCAAGAACATACCGTGACCCGCGAACATGAAAAGGAAGATATTTCCGATCTAAGAATGGATATTGGGGCAGGTAAGGAGAAGAAGATATGTTGACGGACCAGCTCTGCATCATCGAGCTGATACTTGCTTGATTCATCCTGGTTCGCCTTGACGAGCATCGTGAACGCATCGGCACTGAGGTCACCGGCAGCAACTTTGGCTTTCCGTTCGGCCACTTGTTCGTGCATGAACCCGCTGAGTCTTTCGCGGGATATCCGGATGTCTTTTAGTCTAATATGTACATTAGTTTTATAATGGGTTTACGTTGCGCCATCTCGTACTTCTGGATTGGGAGATACGTGAGCCACTTGGGGACGATTTGGGAGAGCACTGTAGTGTCGGCAACGATTTTGAGTGCCTCTTGTACTGGCATGCCTCCGTCAGCAGCTTGAGGCGGCGTATCCCTTTATAACATCGCGTGAGTGAGAAAGAAGCGTCGAATGAACAATCGAAAGCACCATGTCGATGGAAACCCGAAGCCACAGCTGCTGATGAGAAGGAAAGCAAACTGAAGACTATATAAGCGAAACAAAAGAGGTCAATAAGGATAATTGACCTTGAGAGTGATGGTTTGAATAACTGGGATATCAACAGCGTCTTTCCATCCTTCGACTTCTACCATGTCCCTATATGTCTCCATTGTCTTTTTCCAAACTAATTTGTATCTAGGTGGGAATAAATCCAAGGATAAATTGAGCAGCAGAATAGGTCTTACAATTCTGTGTTAAACGCTGGGCCGACGACCCGTCTGTGCTTTCTCCACATGAGTCCCTCCGACGCAGCCAAATTCATGCCCCATTGACTGAAAGGTCGCAAGATCAGCACGAAATGCCAAAGATACTTCAATACGGCCGTACCTGAAGGCTTCGTTTGACCCTGGGGGCTTAATGAAGCTTGAGCGATGACCTCCAGACGCTATCTGACGCCCGATTTCCATGTTTGAGGTCCACAAGCCGGGAATCCCACCGAATGGAGCAACCGGCACGAGGTTCACCGTTTCATTCTTACTGTACGCTGTTGGCACTGTTGTGGCAACCCGTTCTGCGGTGGATTGGGATGACTTACTCTGGAAACGCCGTATCCAGTGCCAGTCGAATCCTGTGGACCAAGAGGTGGTCGGGATGAGAAGTCCCGGTAAGGCGAATGGCTGGAAGGAGGTGAATATAGTCGGAAAATAGCTGACAGAACGAGATATCTTCAGGAGCCGGACGATTTGGCGGAACGTAAGGAGCCCAAGGGAGACCAGAAGCACAGTAGTGGGCTTGATCTCCATCTCAAACCAGGGCACCTGGAAGCGCAGACTTTGCACCAACGAAGACGCCATCAGAGCCAGCAAGCTTTACAACCAGTCACGGTACACCGCGCAGATGTTGGCGGTGTGAGTTTGACGTGTAACACCGCGGAGGACCGGGAATTACGGTTTGGTTTCGGATCAGTGGCGGTGCACTGATTCAACGCCGGCGTCCAAATATGGTAATAATCGCGTTGCTGGACCTTCGAGCGCCGAGAACAATCCGAAAAGGGCCAATGGGGACATGCAGCATTCGTTACGAGCTGCTGGGCCACTCGACTTTGAAAGACCACAAAAATCCTGCAATTGCGAGCGGTGGAGAGGAAACATATTTAATCCGCCCTTGACATTGCATCTTTAAGGGTAGACAAGAGCGAAAGGACCGCTTCGCGGCCCTTTCACCTTGCGGCCCCTTTCTGCTCGATGGGATCAGTTGACAATATAAAGCGGCAGCGCGGCACCGGAGATAAAGTTTGAACCCTCTGAAAAAGGAAATAAAAGCGCCAAGAAAAACCGAATGTGCTTATAAAGAGTTCAATTAGGCTTGTGTTCTGGTGTTGTTGGACCTATATATGGGCCGCTGAGCGGGGATTTCGCGGTTGGATGGCCGAGCGGTCTAAGGCGCCAGACTAAGGATCCACATCGATTTAGATGTTCAACTTATCGATTTCATTATCGGTAATCTGGTCCGAAAGGGCATGGGTTCGAATCCCATTCCAATCATCCCTTTTTGCTGTTTCTACGCTTCAATTTCGTTTCTCGTTCTCTTTGACACCTGCACGCATTGTACATCAAAGCCGAATCGGGACTTCTCATTTTTTTCAGACTAGTCATCAGCTCAATATCTTTGGTGAGTTGAATAAAATGCCACTGGAGGTTACCCTCACTGTATAGTAGAGGATCCTGCGGCTGAGTGCAAAGGTCTGGGGTATAGCTCAACTCGATCTCTGTCTTCAGTCATATTTCAAAGTCACTTATCTTAGCTTCAACATGCTTTATCCCCTTTGATGTAGTTCACGGTTTTGTGTCTCTCAATGCAATCTCAATATTGATGTCAGGCATCGAGTACAGTGTGTAACTCAATATCATGGTCGCATTCTCCTCTCGAATTTAAGCGGGACATCGGCCACACCAAGGGTCAACACGATGTGCGCATCCATCACGCGGGCTGCCCATGCTTGGTTGCTTTCCCCTTCGTTGAGGATTGGCGAAATCTTCCAGTCTCGCAGCAACAGTGTCAAGAAGCACGCGCCCTCAACGAGCGCGAAACGACGTCCTATGCAGGCTCGGGGACCTTTCAACATCGTACCTTGAGTTTCGTCCAAATCGAGAAGAGATCATCGATCATCACTCACCGACACTGAACGCCGTGAACAGCTCGGAATCACTTGGCAGACCATACCATCTTGACGGTATGTATTCATTCGGGTTTTCGAAATAACGCGGGTTGTACTCTGATAAAATAATCAGTCCTGATAGTTCAATTGCGCTGGTTGGAAGAAATACGTACGGACGCCGATCATGTCAACCGTGACCTATCGCGTGGAATTAGAAAAATATCTGAGTGCTGGATATAAGCATACTTGGGTGCCCTTCGGAATAGGAATAATCTTGCTTCCCTCCTCACCGACAGGATTCGGCACGGTCAAGATGGTGTCCTCTGTTGCTTCGCGAATGAGAACGTGGCCAGCAGCTTCGAACACAGTCAAGTTATGCCCCAATATTGCTAATGCGGACTCACGGAACATTCGGGCAGACTCGTAGAAAATTGCAAGAACTTTGTCGAGTTTCGGGTAGTCTTCGAATACCTGAACCCAGTCTTTGATCAACTGACACCTGGGTCGGGGCAAGAGAGGCATACAGGTGCACGATCGGGTCCCACCACAGCAATGATTTGCTCCAAAACCTCGTCCTGAATCTCAGGATGAAGGGCCATGAACCCAAGTGTCCCGGCTAGGGTGTGCGCCGTGGTTTCTGCCACGATAGATTGAACACGGAGTTGGCGCTCTGAACGATCAGCGTACCATGTCCGGCAAACATGAACAGGAATACGTTCCCGATCTAGTTATGTTGTGATATCAGGGCAAAGGTGAGTGAAATTCGAGAAAGAAAACATACCAGCTCTTGATCATCGAGTTGATACTTACCCGTCTCATCCTGGTTTGCCTTGACGAGCATCGTGAATGCATCGGCGCGTGTGTTACCAGCCGCTACTTCTGCCTTTCGCTCAGTGACTTGCTGCTGCATGAATGTTCGAAGTCTGTCGCGCGCCGTCCGTGCTTTCTTGAACCTAACAAAACTCTGGTCAAGTTCTCACGAAGGTTTTGGCTCGCTGCACTATTACCTGGGGATGGGCAAACGTAAAACCCACTCGGGACAAGTGAGCATAAGTAGATGGGTCTCTGCGACCACACGAAGCGCCTCCTGCACCGGCATTTCGTTATCTTTAGCGTCTGCAGTGGGAGTTTCCCTGCAACCGACTTGGGTGTTGGCGTATCATCGAAAGAGAGTTGAATGTTCAAACCAGGTAGATTGGAAGCCAAAGCCGCAGGCGCTTATGATCAGGAAAGCCACCTACGCAAGATCAGCACCAATTACAAACACAGAAGTGTCTGACGATTACTTTGGAAGTGATATTTTGGATTACGGGCACGTTCACGACGTCCTTGTTATTCCATCCCTCCGTTTGAACCATGTCTTCGTAAGTCTGCGCAGTCTGTTTCCAGACCAATTTATACCTAACCACCGGAGATCATAAATTTCGGGGTTCATCCGGGGACCGATATGTACGAACAGTTCAGTGCCAAAAGCAGGACCAACAACACGTCTGTGCTTGCGCCACATTTGTCCATCCGCCGCAACCAAATTCATGCCCCAAAGGCTGTGAAGCAACAAATGAGCGGGAAAGTCTAGAATAATCGTGTTTCGGCTCACAGAAAAGCCGCACCGGCCATCTCGGGTTTAACGAAGCTGGTCTTGTGTCCACCAGCGGACACTTGGCGTGCAATAGCCAGGTTCGAGGTCCACAGTCCCGACGTCCCACCGATAACGGAAACGAGCCTTATTGTCTCATTCCCAGTGTACCCTGATCGAAGTTCAAAACCGCCAAAATCGTAACACTGTGGGCGAAGCCTCACTTTGGAAACGCCGTGTCCAATGCCCGCTGTATCCTACATTCCACCACGCTGTTGGAAGCAAGACTCCCGGCAATGCCATAGGGTCCCATGCACTATACAATTTGGGAAAGAAACTGGGTACCTACATTCTTGGATAAGCCAAACCAGACCGGTCAAGATTAAGCGTACCCGCAATATCGTGAAGACGCCAATGAGGCGGCGCAGAGCCCATAGACCAATCACTGCCGAGAGGATGGAGACAGGGCCGACGTCGACATCTTGCGTGAATGGCAGGGATAGCATTAAGGCGGAAGCCTTTGTGGGGAAAGGAGAGAGAGAGATCGAGGTCTCAGGTCTGTCACTCGGGGACGTCGGCTGTTGTCGATCGCGTGGGCTACTTTCGCAGTGGGAAAACATGTCACTTTTCGGAAGTGTGGAACTGGTGTGGAACGCAAGAATAGTTGCTATAAAGTCAGGAAAGTAAGGCCAAGAAACGGTGGTGTTTTCAACGAGGGATTCACGAGTCGTTTCTGAACTAGACTCGCTGTCAAATTTTTCACTGGCACTGCTCCGTGCAGACTCTAAATTTGAACATAGGGCTCCTGACCACGAGAAACGAGAGAGAGACGCTTTGATATGAGGTTCAAGACCACTCATTTTGGACTTGGAAAATGGCGAACGCTTGGTTGAAGGGATTGATTCTCACCAGGTGAATAGACCAATGCTTGAGTTGGATCATGATGGTTCAAATCGCCTCACCGAATTCAACGCGTTCTCGTTCGCATCTAATATCTAGAACTGCTGATTGAGTCTCTAGTGATTTAGGCCACCGCCTTGCCTGCGAAAAATGCTCGAGCCGTTGCTGTATCTTCGTCAACGGCGGCAGGGTCCTCGAACCCCTAACCACAAAGTTAGTAAAATTCCCATGAACTGGAGAATGAACAACTTCGAGTTCAAGGGATGCAAGATGGTCGGTGTTGTTCACGTCGGTGATTTGAACAGTGAGAGGCGGAGGATTGGTAGAGTCTATAGGACTTGTACGCGACGCGTCCTATTTTCCCCAGTGAGTAATTGTTGAGAATAAATCATTGGGTGTTATACTTTCAGCGACACAACAGCGCGAGTCCATGCCGTGTTCAAAAGGCCGGCATATGATATATCTCGCCGAGAGTCGGGGTCCAGACGCAGAAGTGCTGCGATGAGTTTGCTGATGCAAAGGCCATGACTCGCGATCGCGATGTGGATGTCGTCCTCGGCGGCCAGGTGCGGTACAACACAGTCGGCTATGGCCTCCTCTGCACGGCGCGCCAAGTCGTTAAGAGACTCTCCCTCAGGGAAGCCGACGTCTCGGTCAGGTTTAACGGGAAATATTCCATTCTTGATCAACTCATCCAAGGTCTTGTTGGGCGGACTCTCCAGTGTCCAGGGCTTGCCCTCGGCGACGCCAAAATGCTGCTCCCGTAGTCGTTTATCGGATGTGAATGGCGGCTTCGGCGACTCGTGGTATTTCAACACCGCCTGCCCCGTCGCGTGCGCGCGCAAAAGATCAGACGCGTAAATGTGATCAATCTTGATGTTCGACTTGGCGAATGCCTGGCCTAGTGCGGCCGCTTGCTGCACAAAGCAGTTGGAACCCAGCAAGAATTGAGAATGGATGAGTTTCATGCCTTGAAACCTATGAACCTCAGCAGAGGTTAGGGGTCGCGGAATCGTCGTAGTCACCAAGTTCTGACAACGGTGCGTCTTTCCAACCCGCCCAAATGAATTTCTGATTTGAAAATTAGTGAAGAAGACAACTATTTTCTGTAAGAGATCATACCACGTTGTCCTCTGACTGGCCATGTCTGATCTAGCTCTCCGTTTGCTTTCAGCTTTGAGGAAAGTGGCCGTCGTGCAAAACTCACAAAGGTCACGGTGAGCATGTGCGGCTTCCGAAAACAAAGAGTTGCAAGGGTGGTGGGGTTTCTGAAGAGGGAGAATTTTGAGTCATCGACGTTGGGTTGAGGGCAACTTTTATAGGGTAGTTCACGTGCGCTGCGGCATCGGACCGATGGACCGCATCAGCAAATCGGCGCAACGCGGATATGGCACTGTTGATCGCAGATCAGGCTGATATCGCCAGGTTTGGGCTCACCAGCCCAGACCAGTCGCCACCAGTATGTGATTCGCCATGCCTGCTATTGGGCCGGGAAAAATTCAACAATTGGGTGGGCATGTTCGAACGGCGACTTACTCAAAGATCTCGTGTTTTTACTAGCCCAGAGAAGAGCGCCGACACGGTTTGTTCGAATCGAGCGGGGAGTGAAAAATGCCCGAGCAGATGCAGTAATAAAGCTAGCACAGGATGCATTGAAGACCTCCCAACCGGTTGAACCATACATTCCACTCGTGATGTGTCCCTGGGATGAGCTTGAAAGTTCCTACGAGGCAATAGACACGCCGAAGGTTTCAACCGCGCTGCCCGAGATGACCGAGCCGAAGAATGGGGAGTGGAAATCACAGAAGGATGACGAGGAAAATTTTCAGGGAGACCCTGAAGATCATCGTGGCCGCGAGAGGGTTCGGTTGCTCCAGAAAGCCTTGAGAGATAAGATCTTCGAGTGCAAA